GAGATCCCCACCTAAAAATATTTACAAGGAAATTGACTCACCCTCTTGGTAAATGTTTAACTTTCTGAGTACATAGCTCATATTGTCCAGGAGCATTCAGATGGAGGTTTTTCTATACCAAAACATTGCTTTCTTATCTCAGGGCTATAAATACGTTACTTAATTCTTAACTAGATTAAAAATGATTAAAATGAAGTTGTTTTATTTATACTGTTATTTTTAAAGCCTAACCCTGATAATATTATGAAATTACTTTAATTTTATTCAGAATTTTTTTAAACTTTGGCTAAAAATCAGGGCCAGTCCATGGTCCTAGCTAGTAAGTCAATAGGGCAGGTGTCCATGTTAGTATGGGGAGAAGATGCTGAAAATAGTTTTTTAAAAAAGCTCATTTTCATAATGCTCATATAATATACAAATGTTCATTTTGCTCAAGGCACCAAAAGCCATAGGGCCAGACATGGTTAAAATTTTACTTAGAAATCACAGCAAGTAATTTTATTTATAAACAAACCAAGCTTTTACAGATGGATAAAATATACAACTGCATCTAAGCAGGTAACATTTTATTAGAGAAGGGAAAGGGTGACTAGAAAGACTTAAGGCCTAGGGCTTTGCAGTTTTCTGTGCTTTGTGGTTGTCATTTCATGTGTTTGGCCATATGTCTAGGATTAAATAACAGCTCACACTTAGATGGCACTTTTACATCCAAAGGTCTCTATAGACATTCTATCATTTTAGCCTCATGACAATTTTAAGTGGTAAGGCATCACAGACTGAGGTTCTGAGTCTAAATAACTAGTCAAAAACTATACAATTTCTGAATGTCAGAGCTGAGATTCAGAACTAACCCTTCTGATTAAAAGTCCAGTGTTCTTGACACTACGCTGCATAATGTAACTAGGGATGCCAACCACTACTTCACCCTAAGATGGGGAAATTTGCCCTATTCAGGGAATTTGAAGAGTTGTTGTGCTGACTCTAAGGTAGTTCTGTGACTTGGCACTCGTTATAGAGGATAATTAGGATAGAGATCATTTTGGAAAGGAATTTGGAATTATGCAAATAAAGTAACTAAAATGTCACTTTGATTCAAATATTCCACTAATAATCAACATACTCCCCAGGAAGTCATTAAGAAGAAGAATAACCCTACATACACCAAAATATTTATAGCATCAATTGTTGTGGTAGCAAAAAACTGAAAACAAAACAGATGCCTATCCACTTGAAGAACTGCTAAACAAATTGTGGTACGTGAATGTAATAATGAGCTATTACTGAGCTGTACGTAAGAAACAATGACTATGATGAATACAAAGAAGAACTGAAAGACTTACACAATATAATATGGAAATAAGCAGACCCCCCAAAATATATATACACAATGACTACAATAATATAAATGGAACGCACAAGTGCCAAAAAAAAGGGAAAAACTGAAAAATTAAAAAGAACAAGCATGGGCCCCAGGAAGTATAGGAAGACTCTCCCACCCACTCTTTTGCAGAGGTAGGAAGGTCCACAAATGTGAAACTCAGCAGAAATTTTCTCAGACTTTTTTCAGTGTATCAATCAGTTGGGCTAATTTTTCTTTCTTCCTCTTTTTCTTTCAAAAAAGAAATTTGATCTACTGGGTGATATTGGATGACTGAGAGAGGGAAGGGAGGGAAACAAATTCTGGTGATATAAAAAATAAAAGATGAAAATAATTTTTTTAAAGGAAGTTGCTTTAACTTGGAAATTCATCACCCTGTGGTCACTCTAGTAATGAGACTATCTGAATTTCCCCAGGCTTGTAGTTAGACTTGTCATTTATCAGTACTAGATTCTATCAGTTTAGATTCGATTTATTAAAAAAAAAAGTTGAGCTGAGAACAGGCTCCCATTGGGAGACCAGCTCAACTATATCCCTACTCTCGAGAGGGGTTCTTCAGTCAAGAAAAGGGGAACAGAGAAACCACCTAATAGAACCAGGACTCTAGACTAGTTTAGGGGTAAACCTCAAGGTGGGGGAGACCTATCGTTGGCCCAGTAAGCCTGTTCCCTCAGGACCAAATTCAAGGATTTAGTGGTCCAAAGGATAACTTCAAAATATAACTTGCTGTCTAAAAAGAAGGTATTCTACTACAGATCAGCACTCGGCTGGGAATAGTTAAAATAGCAGGCCAATAAATGAACCATTTCCTATGGTGTGGGTATAGTAATAAGCTCCTCAGAAATAGCTTCATTGTATCCTGGAGTTCCTATCTTTGCTTACCATCCACCTGGACCCTAGGTAAAGTAACTGGTATGCATACTGCTATAGGTGCTCGCCCTAGATGCAAAAACTCCGAGGTAAAACTCTGTCATGCTGATCCTTATGTTGTACTCCATGTTATTCTGTGTGTTTATAAGTTGTAGCATGGCATTACAAAAAGCAATGGAACCTGAATTAGGGGAACCTCAGCTCACATTCAGGTCATGCTTTCCACATTGTTTTGTTATTGTTCAGTCATTTTTAGTCATGTACAACTCTTCATGACCCATGTGGGGTTTTCTTGGCAAAGATACTAAAGTGGTTTGCCATCTGCTTCTCCACCTCATTTTACAGAAGAGGAAACTGAGGCAAACAGGGACTCCCGAAATGAGTCTTTCTGACTCCACGCCTGGCACTTATAATCCACTTCACCAGTTTTGGCCTCCTCTTCTGCAATTGTAAAATGTAGTAGTGCTTTCTACAACATGGTAACTGGAATTGCAAACTTTTAAGTATTATACAGAAGATAGTTCTCCCTATTATATTTTAGAATCAAGTAAGAATGTAAGGAAACAGCTTTGTAAATCTTAAAAATTATTGTCTCATTCTTCTCATTTTATGGAATTCAGCTAGAATGGGTCAAGTGACCATAATAATAGCTAACATTCATATAGTACACTTACTATGTGCCAGGCTATTAGCTAATAGCTATACGGCTATTATTCTTTTATATTTAATATTCTGTGGACATGCACATAAAATGCCTGCTTTTTAATAACTATATTAAAGTTTGGGGATTTAAGCTCATATGCAGGCTCACTGAAAGCAACTCTGGGACAACTCTAGTAGCAGACAAGAGAAGGGGGATGATATTCACTTCATCATGCTTCCACATACTAAGTCTCTAAGTAGTTTGGAGATTGAGTACTCAATATGGCAATACCTGTTAAAATGTTCTTAAAAGTTTATGGATTTATTGTTAATATTATTATGTATTCTTAAATTATCTCTCATCTCATCTGCTAAATTAAATTGTAAATTCCTTGAGGCCTGACTTCCTGTCATATACTTTTCTGTATTTGCCATTGTTTCCTGTTACCATTAGGGGCAGGACTAAAGTATTTTGTAGGACTTGGAGAAATCTCAAAGAGCATAACACTAACAAGGCAAACACTTACGGAGGAATACATTAATAAGAAAGAAAGTTTGGTAGAGAAATAGTTGGGATTCATGAAAGATACAGGCATTGAGCAGACACTCTAAGAATGGTCAAAGGCAAAGAGACAGATTAAGAGAGAATAGAGAAGGAAGGAACCGATGATAAATTATAAGGTTTTCAAACACAGAATCTGAGAAGGGCTAGAGGCAAAAAGGCCTAACCACATATTGTAGTGAGCAGTTAGCAACAGCGAGTCAGAAAAATTCAAGGGATCAAAAGTCTAAGGCCAGAAGAAGAGTCAAAATACCAGATAACCAATATGTTTAAGGAAGCAAAAAACAAAATCTCACAATTTTATCATACATAATTTTGTGGGAATGAATGTTTGCTAAATGATTTGTGTTGTTTAGAAGAAAGCTGCTACACAAACACAGTACAATTGCCACGATATGAAAGGAGAAAAAGGGTCTAAAGACAGTCACTACTACATCCTGCACTATGACCTTAAAGGACAAATACTAGACTCCATGAACTTTGCGCAAACTATTCCTGCTTGTGAAAGCTTGAATTATAAAACTTTACCTACTAGCTTTAAAAGATTATCAACCCTTGACCTCATCAATGTATATGGTATATACTGTACTAGATCATGTGCAAAGAAATCTTGCTTAGGGCCTAGGAAAATATACTGAATAATAATCCTGAACATAACACTGAAATATTTGTATTAAATTTCATAAATTCAATTTAATTTCTATTTTTAACTTTGATGTACCTTAAGTAAATTAATACAGGTAAAATTTAAAAACAAATTAACTTTTACAACCTTTTGTGAGAAAAAAAGTAAAATCTGCATAAGCATTTCCACTCAGATGTTATCTTTCATCATCTTATCTTTTCATAAATTATGCTATTATATCACTCTCAAGGTATAAATTAGAGGGTTTCCTCATAGGTTAAGTAAGAATGCCTCATGAAACTCTCCTTTTGATACTTCAGTGCCTAATTTTCAAAAGAGGAATACCACCTTATAAAATAACACCTTATTAAAAAAAATCCCACCAGATAGCAAATAGTGAAACAAAGTTCCATTCTTTTTGTTTAAAACTGTAATTGTCCCACATGTCTCCTTCCTCTCAAACTTACAAATATTCTAAGGTAAGGAACCATCACATTTAACCTAACTCTTTAAAGACCAGTAGTACTTAATACAGAATTACATGTCTTTTAGGTATCTAATAAATGCTCATTGCTATTAATGATCACTTCATTCTTTCAAGACCAGAGAAAGAGAATATTACCCTACTTTTTCCAGAAGGGAAAATTAGGTCATAGAATAATTACTCTATGATTTGCCTATAGTCACACGGAGGAGGCCACTGAGCATGAAAAATCAAACTCTTTGCCTCCTTGTTCAGTTTATGACAATGGCTCCCACAAAAATGACTTAATTCCTACGTATTGTTTTACCTATCAAAGAGAATATCAAGAGCATTTATTTAGCTATTTAAGACTACCAATTTGTTTTAATGAAATAAAAATCATCTTGAAGTAGACTTTTAAAATTATTACTCATAGTTATAAATGAAAATAGGTACTTACCAATACTAATTTCATCATCAGTTTCAGCATCTCCAATACATTCAAACTGAAAATCTTGCAAAGACTGTGAAAATTTCTGTACGGCCATGGACAGATCTGTTATTAAAAGAAAACCAATATTTGGTTAATTAACTGCACTATAATAATTCAGTATTTCCTAACTCAATATTATATTATTTTTACATTTACTCATGGACCTTTCTGAATTATGAGTTGTGTCAGATAAACTAGGTTTATATATGCCAAAACCACAGAAGCTTCATCTGTTTATTAAGGATATTATTTTCAAGAAAAGAAATGGTAAGTATTAAATATAGCAAGGAATGAATAACATAACAAAAAAAACTGATTATATTTAACAGGAAACAACTCACTACTAATGTGGGAGTCATTCCTGAATCAGCTGTTCAGCTGAACCAGTTTTTTAATGTACAAAATTTGTACAGAACTAAAAGAATGAAATTGGAAAGAGACATAGTATACAACTGAAAGAATGCAATCCTGACCTTTCCAGACCCGTTACTAGTGATTTTAAAAAATGGATACAGGATGGAAGAAAGAATATATACATTGTTGTTGTTCAGTTGTTTCAGTCATGTCTGACTCTTCATGACCCCATTTGGGATTTTCTTGGCAAAGATACCAGAGTCATTTGTCATTTCCTTCTCTAGCTCATTTTACAGAGGAGGAAACTGAGGCAAAGAGGGTTAAGTGACTCGCCAGGAGTGACACAACTATCTGAGGCCATATTTGAACTCAGGTCTTCCTGACTCTAGGCACAGCCCTCTATCCATTGCTGTGCCCTCTGGATAAATACATACACCATAATAATTTCATACATAATTTTAACCAATCTAAAACTCCATGTTAAGTAAAAATAAAACAACTATTAGAAGGAGACCAAAAGAGCCTAAACAAGCCCTTAGGGGAAGTGTCTTGCCTAAGATTGCACAGGTAAGGACAGAGCTGGGATTTGACAGCAAGTTTCTAGTCCACTTTCTGACCCCACGTCCAACCTTCTATCTATTTTATCAAGCAGCCTCTACAAGCTCCCACTTCAACTGTAAGTTCCATCAGAGCAGAAATGGTATCTAATTTATCTTTGCATCTTCCATAGCATCAGGAATCCTGCCTTACTTCTTACTACAGAGAACACTGAGATGCATGCAGAACACATACAAGAATTAGCCTCTCCTTCTCCATGTCTCATAGTGAGACTGTTTCTGGCACAGAGTGCCCTGCCCAGAATTCATTCACCTAGTAAAAATAGCCTCCTTTTCCAGACTCCATGTACTGCAGAAAAGAGGCAGCAAAGTCCTACCTGTGTGAACAGCATTTGGTGGAAGAGAGCATAGAGCTGATGAGCATCAAGGAACTCCAACAAGGAGCTGAAAATGTGTGTTTAAAATTTAAAAAGAGATTAGGGGCAGCTAGGTGGCACAGTGGATAGAGCACCTGCCCTGAAGTCAGGAGGACCTGAGTTCAAATCTGGCCTCAGACCAAACACCTGACAATTACTAGCTGTGTGACCCTGGGCAAGTCACTTAACCCCAACTGCCTAAAAAAAAAATTTCAAAAGAGATCACCTGAAGGAAAAGATCCTAGGGTTTTTTTTCCACTGAAGGTGAGTGAGTTTCATGTAGTTTCTTCAACCAAAGAGTTGGATTAAAGATTACTAATAGTAATCTATGATAAAATACTAAGTCCTCTGTTTGACAGATAATGTCTTTCAGTCTGGCTCTAACCTACCTTTAAACTAATTTTCCCTTTCTTCCTCCTCACATATTTCCAGTTTCTAGTCAAATTGGCATATTTACTCTTCACCAGAAATGACATTCCATCTCCCTTTTGTATGTCTTTACCTAGGCTGTGTCTCCCTTACCTTTAATGCAATCTCTCCTTTACTCAATATTTTAGAATCCGTAGATTCCTTCAAGGATTGTTCTAAGCACCTGTTCCTGAAAGGTTTTCCTAAACCTGACAATTTTTACTGCCTATCCCACAAAAAAAAATAAAATCATTTTGTATACCTTTTACACTAATTTATCTTAATTTACTTATCCTTTTTCCTTCCAGAGAATGTTGACTTTTTTGGGGGTGGAAGTCATCAGGGTTAACTGCCTTCCTATAAGCCCACTGACCAGTACAGTAAGCAAAGTACAATGATGATTGTTGAATGAATACACGAATGGGGAATGTATTTTTCAAGGGTTGATCTAAAAATATAGTCTAATATTTCAATGATCCATGATTTTATTGATGTATACTCTCTCCACTTATGTAAACTTATAATAGTTTAATGAGACATGGGTAAAATAATTCAGCACTTGGTGGCCAACCTTCTGGTGAAGAACTTCTTTCAACTTAGTGAGATTCAATCCTCTGATTAAAGACACAATCTGTCTTTGGGTCTGATTGGAAACCATTCCTGCTTGGTAGAGCTATGCTTCAGTGCCATCAACTTTGAGAGAAGAGGCACTTCCACACCCTGATGAGGCATCAGAATAGAGTTTTAATATGGGCCCTCTAAACATATCCAAAATTTTTAATTTAGATTTACTCAATTTCCAAAATTAAAATCACCCTTATTATGACCATTATGACTTATGAATAGCACTCCCCTCCCTCACAAGGGAAACACTGAATAGGTGAATAATGCACAAATGAAAACAGGCTCAGAGGAGCCTCACTGCAAAAACAAAATATGGTGTAGTGAGGCAACTAGGTGGCAGAGAGTGGATAAAGAATTGGATATGGAGTCAGGAAGACCTTAGTTCAAATCCAGCCTCAGACATTTATTAGCTGTGAGAATATTGGGCAAGTCACATACCCTTCTCTTTGCCTCAGTTTCCTCAACTATAAAATGGGGATAATAATAGCACCTACTTCCCAGGGCTGTTATGAGGATCAAAAAGTGCTTAGCATAGTGCCTGGCACTATGTAAATCATTATTTCCTATCCGCTCTCCTTTTTTCCAACCAATTCAGGAGAGTCATATGAGACAATGGTGATAAGTTCTAACAATGTTCCCTTAAGGTTTATCAAATAAAGATCTGTGGGAGCCAAAAAATGGTTGGGGAGAAGGGGAAGTCTTGAGAGCAGAGAAGAATTCTAAAGTGAAACATACTTTGTTTCATTCATATTAAAACCAAAAACTTCAAAACACCAACAGGAACATGCTGGATAATATCAGATGCTATGAGAACACCAAAAAGAAAAGTGACCTCAAAGGTAATTTTAACCCAAAACATATTTTGGGCCAGCTATGTAACTTTTGGCAAGGCTTATAACCTTTCAGTGTCTGTTTCCTTACTTGTAAAATGAGCACAGGACCACTCTTGCCCAGCAGGGTGTGAGGCTGCAACAGCATAATAACAGGGCAGAATGCACCAAGGAACCTGCCAAGGGAAAAGTCCTTGCTTCATCATTAAGAGATCCCACTGCCCACTGCCCTCTAGAATTTGAATACAGCTTCAACTCAATGGAGAAAAATTGGTAGCTAAATTCCTGTCAACTTCAGGGGTATTGCTATAGGAAAAGAAGATGGCATCACCCCCACTTACCACAACTTCTCTTCATTCACTTTACCCCACCCCTCAACCCTCACTTTAAACCTACTGTATGATGAGGAAATGTGGTTTTCTTTCCTCCATCACAAAACAGGCTCACAGCCAAAACAAAGAACCAGCTAGGTAACATGGTAAACTGGAATTAGATGACTCCAAAAGCATTGGCACTGGGTATAATTTGGAAAAAGTTGCCCACCAATAATTGGGAATTAGCTGTAATTGTTCTTGAAGTTACATAGTTAATCCTATGTCCCCTTTACAGCATACCATCTGAATTCTACTCTAAAAACAGCAAGGAAAAAATATGAATTCAGCCTTGAAGATGGCAGCTGCAGGAGTATCCAAACATTGGATGTTTGGAAAAGAGTGAAAGAAAATAACATACTGATAGCAGCTGCAAAAGCCATCGCAACACACTGCAGGGCTTAGCAACCCATGAGGAAAAATGTATATTTATCTCTCTCTTCCCAAAGGAGAGATGTGGGTTTGCATCCCAACTGAGGATATCACTAAGACTGCCTTAGCAGAGCATAATCCTGCAGCCTTTAAGTCACCTAGTGAGAGAGAAGATTATATATGAGAAGTTTGCCTCTCAGGTGGTTCAGATTACACTTGTATTTTGGAATGAGTATTCCATAAGCAGTAAACAAAACACACACACACACACACACACACACACACACACACACACACACACACACACACACACACATTCTTTCCCAAGACCTTGACTTTAGTTTTAAAAGATTCAAGTGTTTTCTGGGTTCTTCATATTTCTTCTCTCTTTTCCCCTCTCTTTCTGGCTCTCGTTTTCACAACTGAAAGGGAGTGATACTTAAGGAGCATTACTAACATTAATTATGAGAGGTATGATTTATAATGCTGTCACACAAGGAAACTAGTTCAGACCTCTAATCTTGGCTCCATCTCTGCCTGATTCAACGTGCAACTAACTGAGCAACTGCCTTGACACCTACCACTGACTTTAAGCCATACCTATAGCATGCAGTTGTCTCACTGTCTATAGAGTAACCAAGAGCCCCCATATCATCTTCCTGGGTTCACACAAAAGAATTCTAAACATTTTTGAGTATGGAATTAAAAAAATTTAAATGTTAGACTACACTCCTAATTTAAGAACTTTGTTCAGTTTTGCTGACATTTTTAGCATTTTCTTTTTAAAAAAAACTTGTTATATAGAATGGCTCTCTGGAAAGGATGGCAGAAGGACAGACGGGGAAATTTTGGTGATGTAAAAAAAAACAAATGATGCTAATAAAAATGTACTTTTAAAAAAACTGTTCATTGAATGTTTACAGGAGCACAATGAATATTTACTTTCCTATTCATTACTATTATCCCTATTGAATTTCAAGTAAGTAAAGAGATTTCAGGGATAAATGGATAAGGAAACAAAAATGTAACAAGCTGAGAAAGTCTAGCCTGGAAGGCTCTTGAGTCTGATGAGGGCAGAGATTTGGCCCTTTTGTGTCTCTCCCAACCCACTGCCCTTGTACCTACTAAGGA